CTGCCGCCCCTCGACGCAAGGAATGCAGGGCGGGGCAGGCGAGGGAGGGAGGGCAGGCAGAGACCTGGGAAGGCCAGAGACCAGGAAGCGAGAGTGCATGCTACGAAGGCGAGGCAGGGAGGGGTGACCAAGGCGGTGGTGCCACAGGAGAGTGTCGTGCGACAGGCGGCGACACTCACACTGGGTAGCTACCTGAGCAGACGCGTTTAGCTGGGGGGACAAAGGGGTGTCGCGAGACGCAGTGGTGAGGGTGTACAGACTAGACCCAGGCGCACGTGTGAACGTGGCCAGGTGACGGCCGGTCCGAGAGCACGTGCAGATCGCCACACGCTGTCCTCCTGGAGTAAAGGTGTCAACCCAGTGATCCTGAAGGACGGCGTTGCTCACCAAGTTCGTAGAGAACGAGGGGAGGTGGAGACCAGACAACTCACCAGACGGGACCGCCGGACACGGAAGCACAGTGGAAGACCGTGCAAGCACTGGGCCCCCAGAGGGGTCAGCCAGCGAGACAGGAACAGGTGCAGGGAGGGGAGTGACTGTGGTGCTGTCGCGAAAGAAACAGCGGGAAGCACCAGAGTCGAGTGTGAAGGTGTGCAAGGCCTGTGCAGACGCAGTACCAGGGGGAACAGACTCACAAGCACCTAGTGCCACAGGCGCTATACCTAGGGCAATACCTGGGTCAGGCGGCACACACAAGTAGCAGTCACCCTCAGCACTAACAGTCAATGCATACATGGCAGCAAGAATAGCCTCATAGTCAAGATCAAAGATAGGTACATCACGCCTAAGCAGGTCTGCCCAGTTGGGGAACTCAGTAGCATCAGGAAACTTGGCACGCTAGGCGTCGCTAAGCCGAGCGAAGCAGCGCTGCTCAGTGTGAAACCCTGTGCACTGGCGACCAGTGCGGGGACCTGTGCGAATCATATAGGGGCAGCGACCAGCACCCCCAGAAGCCCCACGCCCGGCATACCAGTCAAGAAGCTGCTGGGAAGTGGGGGTCTGGCGCTGACGCTGCTGCTGCTGCTGCTGCGACTGCTGCTGGCCCTTTCCACCACCTCCACCACCTCCACCATCGCTCCCTCCTCCCCCACCGCCGCTGCTGCCACCTCCACCGCTCCCAGTGCCTCCGCTGCCCCCACCACCACCTCCACCACCTCCACCCCCACGACCGCCTCCACCACCTCCACCTCCCCCGCCGCCTCCTCCACCGCCACCTCCACCGCCACCCCCTCCTCCCCTGCCACCCTTGCCGCCCCTGCTGCCGCGACGCTTCCCACTAGGAGCGGAAGCAGCCCCGACCTCCTCAGCACCAAGGTAGTCGTGAGCAGCAGCTGCAGAGGCGTAGGAGGGGGTGAGAGGGGAGGGGGAGCACCCCTCAAAGAGGGGAGAGCGAGGAGTGCCACGAGCTGCACCGACAGCGAGGATGTTCTTCTCTGCTGCAAGGAGGTGCGTCTCGAAGTCGTCGACAGTGAGAGTGGGGGGGTCTAGCGCGAGGAAGTGGTCCCTGACCGAGCTAAGAGTGTCAGGGAGGCGGGTAACGAGGAAATAGAGAGTGAAGTACATCGGGGGGGGGTTTGCGGCGCAGAACTCGGCTGAGAGGGCGGCACGAAAGCGAGTGTCAGTAGCGCGCAGGTGGGAAATGAGGTCCTCAGCAGTGGTGAACGAGGAGAGGTCGGGGAACAGGTACGGTAGCATGAGTCGACCTATGGCTGCAGTGGCCGGGGAGGAGTAGCGCGCAACTACAGCGTCGTACAGTGTCTTAGCAGTTTTGTGCTGGCTGAAATGCGCGCGCTCAGTGATCGGCAGATGGTTCCTAGTAGCTAGGCGAGCAGCAGCATCGCGAGTCTGCCACTGCGAGCGTTCGAGAGGAGGAGCATCGGCAGCAGGAGCAACGGCAGTGCCAGACACGTAATCGAACAGTGAAACGCCCTCTTTGGCATCGGTCAGAAGGAACAGTTGCAGGTCGTCTAGCCACACAGCGAACTCTATGGGGCGACCGTCAGGTTCGAACGCGAGAACATTAGGCGTCGTCATAACGGCAGCAGGCAAAGGCAGCAGAAAGCAGGCACGCAGTAGACACGAGGCAGTAGGTAGTAGGCAGCAGGCTAAGACAGAGGCAGTAGGCAGTAGGCAGTATAGGCAACGTGCAGGGCAGGAGCTTGCTGCACTCGAGCTCCTAAGGTGGCGCTCTAGAAAGTAGCAGGCCGAACCGTTCTAAGGTAGCGGGCTCGGTAGCAGTGAGCCTCACATGCAGGTACACGAGTAGGGCACGCGCGGCTGCTGGCTGCGTGCGGCTGAGGGCTGCGCGCGGCTCTCTGCTGCGCGTGGCTACGTGCTGCGCGCGGCTCCTGGCTGCACGTGGCGACTGGCTGCGTGCGGCTCCTGGCTGCACGTGGCGACGGGCAGCGCGCGCTGCTGCGGGCTGCGTGCGGCGACGGGCCTAAGCAGGCTGCGCGCGGGCGGCGTAAGGGGCGCGCGGGCTCTACGCGGGATGCGCGCGGCTCTGCAGCAGTCGCGCGCGCTAAAAACAGTGACGCGCGTGCTAGAAAACGAGGCGCGCGCGGAAAAAAAAAAGTGACTCGCGCTGCAGCCGAGGCGCGCGCGGGCAGTAGGCAAGGCAGGCAGGTGGTAACACAGTTAGGTGGGCCCGATTCTTAGGTCCTAGAGACCTCCTGCTCTAGTTACCATGTTAAGGCTAAGTCAAGAGAATAGTGGTTGGATTAGGTCAAGGTTGGGGTACAAGACTAGAGTGTCGAGAAAGTTTCTGTACCCCCTAGTGCTAACCCCCATACAGCCTAGATAACCTAAACACACATATATATATATAATTTGACATTTTTTCCCTGACTAAGAAGTGTAACACATGGGTTACAGTGGCACCGATTCGGAGAAGCCCGCATTAGCCTCAACAGACAACTCGCCGACATCAAGGTTCGAACCTGCAATCTAATCATTCAGAGATTCGACAACTGACTAAGTCATTTACTTACGTTTTCTATGTTACTAGGAATATCAATGCAAGTCTCCTTTAATTCAGTCAGGTTTTTTTTTTTTAGCCTGTATTTGTCAGCGTATCAGAAATTTTACCCTAGGCCATCAGGGTGGGACAGGCTGAGACCGTGATTAGGCAAGGTGGCCTAAAACCAATTTTGGGCCATGTCGGTGTGGTGTGGCCCGATCAGGGCCTCAGATTCGTTTGGGGGTACACTGAGGCCTCAGGGCAGTTGTTAGGGAATTAGAATTTGCCCTAAATTGTCAGGGCTGCACAGGGTGAGGTATCCTGAAATGCCAGTGGTACATTTGTCTCTATCCTGTAAATTCAGTGCCTCATTACGTAATAGGTGAAGTGTGGTGGTGGGTAAAACGACAATGCGTTACGTAATAGGTCTCCTGCTCGATTCCCGCTGGCTCCTATGTTTGAGGTGCCCGCCCGTAAATATTTTAGGCCCCGAAGCCCAGGAGATTTTTCGTACAGTACATCTCGCTTCAGAGCGAGATTCGACACTATCCTGACTCATCAGGGCTGAACCTACAGCCTTATCATGAGTTTTCAGTACGCAAAAAAACCGTTATACTAAAATTACAGGACAATTATTTATGTTACCGTATGCTGTTTTTCCAGGACTAGCACACGGCACCTATCCTGAATTCAGGAGAATCAGGATAAATTATCCTGATAACTGAGGCCCTGGGCCGATTCAGGGGTGCGTTGGCACGCGAAGAATGGGCTGATCCGCGCTAAAAAGGTTTCGGTATCAGGGTAGTGTACACGCAACCCTGATACCGTCATGCTAACCATAATCCCTAAAAGTGTAAAAAAAAAACTCTTTTTGCGAAAGGGTAAAAATATCGGAAGCCTGGTAACTCTGAAACAGCAGCCGCCCCCCAAGGTAATCAGGGCATTTTACCCTGAATTTTTTTGCCCTGCACCCCACCCAAGTAGACGCGCCCAACTGTACATGTAGCTTGGTCAACAATTCATTCACACTTCAAGACGCAAAGTTGACTAAACATTTAGACGCGACTCGGGAAAAAACGGACATCGAGACACAAGTGTCGATACATGAATGTACCCTCAGACTACCGGTAGTCAAATCCTAGCAAATGACCCTCAAACTGCGAGGTCAGCATGGTAAATTTTCAAGTTATGTGGGGTTGAAACAGTCTGGCGAAAATAATAATATCGTGTATTTCGAAAATGTGTGTGGGGCGAAAGCGAATTCAGGAGGCGGGTAAAACAACCTTCGCCACGATACTATGCGACGGCTGTTTCCGAGGATATGGGAGGGCCGAACGACTCTGTGTGTGACAGAGCACTGCTCCAGCCCCACCACTGCTGCTGGCGCTTCTCTTGGGGTTGAAATGGTGGGCAACGCGAAACTCACGCGAGTGAGAGTAAGGCAGTACACTGAACACTATTTTTACAATTTCTAATTTACTAAAATGTCTGGATGCTTTTGAGACTTCACTTCAGAAAAACACAAAATTTCAAGTGCTGAATAGGTGCAGAAAAGCATTGCAAGCAAATTGTGAATAAAAAAAATGAAACATCAATAAACGCATTACCAATGCATTTCGGAAACGCACTCTCTCAAGCTCAGATCCCTCAACTCATAAGGATCTCGGCCGGCCACATATCGACATGCCGTGCTGGTCCCTGCAACACTCTGCAGTCCCCCGGCCCACAGCAGTGCAGACCTGACGTGCGCTGCCGCCATCATTTTCTGCCAGCATGGTCTGCCCCCTCCCGCATCAATGCTCCGCGGCATCCTGCTGGGCAGCAGGGGAGGCTGAAGGCAGTTTCGGGAGGAGGCTGCCTCACAGCTCCGCCAGCAAGCCTCAGGGCAGATTCACTCGAAGATCTGCTGGATGCGGTGCTTCGGTGGCCTGCCACGAGGAAGAGGGGGAGCAGAGGGGGAGGGAGTGGGGAGAGAGTGACGCTCATCACTTGTGCCAAGGGATCCAGTCATCGAAGAACTTCTGCATGCGCGTGCGTGTTGCTATGCACCATGTAGAGAAGGGAAGGGGATGGGGGGAAGCAGGGAAGGGGATGGGGGGAAGCAGGGAGCGGGATGGGGGGAAGCAGGGAGCGGGATGGGGGGAAGCAGGGAGCGGGATGGGGGGAAGCAGGGAGCGGGATGGGAGGAAGCAGGGAAGGGGATGGGGGGAAGCAGGGAAGGGGATGGGGGGAAGCAGGGAAGGGGATGGGGAGAAGCAGGGAAGGGGATGGGGGGAAGCAGGGAAGGGGATGGGGAGAAGCAGGGAGCGGGATGGGGGGAAGCAGGGAAGGGGATGGGGGGAAGCAGGGAAGGGGATGGGGAGAAGCAGGGGATGGGGGGAAGCAGGGAAGGGGATGGGGAGAAGCAGGGAAGGGGATGGGGGGAAGCAGGGATGGGGATGGGGGGAAGCAGGGAAGGGGATGGGGAGAAGCAGGGAAGGGGATGGGGGGAAGCAGGGATGGGGATGGGGGGAAAGCAGGGAAGGGGATGGGGGGAAGCAGGTGAGGCAAAGGAGAATATATTGGGGGGTAAACGGAGCTGGTGGGAGTGAGGGAGGTTGGTAATAAAAAAAAGGGGTGTAAACAATTAGGGGGAAGTGAGATCGACAGGGAGAGGGAGTGAGGGGAGTACCCGCTCTCACCCTCTGTCTCTCACTCTCTGGGACAACCCCCCCCCCTGTTCCCCCCCCTCCGTCCTTCCCCTGCTGTCTCTCCACCTCTGCCCTTCACCTTCTGTCTCTCACTCTCTGCCCCTCCCCCTCTGTTCCTCCCCCTCCGTCCTTCCCCTTCTGTCTCTCCCCGTCTGCCCTTCACCCTCTGTCTCTCCACCTGTGTCCTTCCCCCCGTGTCTCTCCCCCTCTGTCCTTAGCGAAAAAGGGAGGGAGAGAGGGAAGAGAGAGAGAAAGGCAAGAGAGAGAGAAAGGGAAGAGAGGGAGAGGGAGAGAGGGACAGAGGAATGAAGGTCGAGAGCAAGGTAGGGAGGGACGGAGGGAGAGGAAGAGAGGGGAGAAGGAGGGATGGAGGGAGGAAGCTTGGGCGAAATGAAGAGGCGGGGGCGACGAGAAGAAGCGCGCGCGGGCGACGAGGAGAAGCGCGCACGGGCGAGGAAGAGAAGCGCGCGCGGGCGACGAGAAAAAGCGCGCGCGGGCGACGAGGAAAAGCGCGCGCGGGCGACGAGCAGAAGCGCGCGAGGGCGACGGTTCAGGGTGCGCGCGCGGGCGACGAGGAGAAGCGCGGGACGGTGGGAAGCGCGGGACGGTGGGAAGCGCGGGACGGTGGGAATCGCGGGCGACGAAGGAAAGCGAGAGAGACGAGTGGGAGATATCGTGACCCGAGCAAGTGTGGGCGACGAGAAGAAGTGCGGGTGTCGCTTTTCCGCCAGTCTCACGAGGGTAACGCGCTCTCGTCATACTAAATCCCTTGAGTGTGGCAACTCATGCCATTTACGAGCATTGCTCGTGTCGTGCGCTAGCACGGGTAGCGTCCCTGGCATGCGAAAGAGGTACGGTGAGCGCATGGCTTGAAGTTGTGCTGGTCAGCGATTGGTCAGACAGCGTGAGTGACTCGTGTTGCAAGGAGAAAGTCGCCTTTACTTGAGCTAGCTTCTATCGCCCTGCCGCGCGTTTCCTAGTACTGTCCCTATTCTAGCAGACTAGTACTACTTGGTCTTCAAGATATGTGAGGTGTGCTCACGGCAATATTGTGGGCGATGGTCGGAGGTGTTGTGCGACTGGGCACGGAAACCAATCAGGAGTGAGGGTCGCAATAGGTTTTCCCTGAGTCGCGAGTTGTTTTTCAAACCAGAGAGGGTTACCCTGTTTTTTGCGACTTCAAGTTCAAGAATCTTGAACTTGAAAAATACCATGCTGTACCCGGGCTTCCCGGAGATTCAAAGTGTGTTTTTTTTGTTTTTACGTCAGCCCCGATAGGAAGGAACTCTCAAAATGGTCGACTAATTTGTTGGAGATGTTTCCACAAAGAGAGAGTCTGTCAAATGGCAAAAGTACTTGTAAATCACGTTCCACAGCTGCTCCTCCTCTATAGGCTTTGACAAGAAGCCGTTCATGCCGGACTCGATGCACTTCTCCCGAGTCCCTGCAAAGATGTCCGCTGTAAGTGCAAATATCGGAGTCTGTGAGAGCCTGTACTTCGCTTCTTGCCTGCGGATTTGCCTTGTGGCTTCGAATCCGTCCATACCCGGCATCTGGACACAGTGAGGGCAGAAAGAAACGTGGATTTGTGAGGTGGGGGGGGACAAGCATACAGTAGCTAGCAGTAATGTGCTGCCCAAGCTCCAGCCCCAGCGGTGCAGCGGCCATGCAGAGGGGGTGGAGAGCTGACCTGGACGTCCATGAGGATGCAGTGGAAGGCGTGGCCAGGCACCACCTTGGCCACGGCCACGGCGCCCCCCACGACGGGCACCACGTGCACCTTGTATCGCTCCAGCATCTTGGCTATCACCTTGCGGTTCACCATGTTGTCGTCCACCTGCACACCCACACCACACCACACCACACCACACCACACCACACCACACCACACCACACCACACCACATTACACATACGAACGGGGCAGTAGCGCACTCAACTCAGTGCCACTGGTGCTTAGGCCTTGCATGTCCAAGCAGCTGCAATGAGTTCAACAGAAACTCACCACCAGAAAGTGCTTGCCATGCAGCACTGCAGTGAGCATCTGAGTCAGCGACTGTGGGGCACCCTCAGCCACCCTCCTCGCCCCGGGACTCGCCAACGCCGCACTGCTGCCACCCCGCCCTTCCACCGCCACTCTCCTCTCGCCACCACTCCTCTCTCCTGCCTCCACTTGCTTCAGACGCATCTCCTTGTTTCCGGTCCTTCCCGTGAGAGTGACAGGGGAGAGAGCCATGTCTGACTCCACAGATGCTCCTCCATCCGATCTCTCTGCTTCGCCTGCACCTGCCCCACAGGCATCCTCTGCCCCGTTATCCACCACAACCACGTAATCGTGCTCCCCACCCGTCACGCCCCTAAAATTCTCGGGACTTGACACTTCTGTCCCTCTCCTTCCTTCAGATCCTCCTTCCCCTCGCCTACCCAAGGTGCCCTGCCCGCCCTCTGCACCCTGTGTGCTGCTGCTGCTGCCCCCGCCGCTGCTGTGCTTGGCGGCCTGCAGCAGCGCGCCCACGAGGGCGGCGCGGCGGATGGGTTTGAGCAGCGTGGCGTGGAAGCCGGCCTGGGCGGCCACGCTCTCCATGCTCGGCTCGCGCACCAGCAGCACCATGCGCCATGCACCCATGCCCATGCCCATGCCATTGCCCATGGCCATACCCATACCCGTACTCAACTTCAACCCCGTGCCCGTGTCCGCATCCGTGCCTGTGCCTGTGCCTGTGCCTGTGCCTGTGCCTGTGCCTGTGCCTGTGCCTGTGCCTGTGCCTGTGCCTGTGCCTGTGCCTGTGCCTGTGCCCCTGGAGGCTGCACTGGCTGGGGCACTACTTCCACCACCCCCCGCTGCATCACGAGGCTCCTCATCAACCCCCTCACTCCCTCTACTTTCCTGCTGCAACGGCGGCACAGGAAGTGAATGCTTCACTTGTTGCTGCTGCTGCTCTTGCTCCTGCTCCTGCTGGTCCTGCTGCTGTGACTGCCACTGTGAACTCAGTAGCTTCTTCTCATGTGCTTCGTGCTGCTGTTGCCTCTGTTCCCCCAATCGCTGTTGCTGCTGTGGCCGCTCCCCCACTCCTTGCTCTTGTTGCTGCTGTTCCTCCACTCCTCCCGGCTGTTGCTGCTGTCGGCTGGTCCAGAAGGCAGCAGCAGTGGCCATGGCAGCAGCGCTCGTCAGCACGCCGCTGCCTCCCCCGCCCCCACCTCCCATGGCGTCACTGCCAGCGCCACTGCTGCCGTCGGGGCTCTCCACGCTGCCAGCAGGGGAGGGGGGCGTGGCAGAAGCGAGTGTGCCGAGAGGGGGTGTGGCAGCCCCGTCAGAGGCTGCCCGGGGGGCGCACAACTGTTGGGACGCGTCCCCTGCCCTCCACGGCGAGGAGGGGAGGACGGCTGTCCTCTCGCCGCCTGCGCGCACAATGGGCACTGCGCACTCCCCTCCACCTGCCCCATCACGCCCCACACCTGCCCCTGCCTCTGCCTCTGCCTCCGCCCCTGCAACATCACCCCCCGCCCCATCACCATCCCTGCCCGTGCCCAAGCCTGCCATTCCCACCCCAGGCTCGCCTCCCTCGCCCCGCCCTCCCTCGTGCGTGCGTGCAGGTGGCGTGGGCAGTGAGTGGCGCCAGGCGCGGGCATGGCGGGCGAGCGTCTCCGCGTCCACCAGCAGGAACGCACCGCCCCATGGAGTGCCCGCTGGGGGCCCCCACCCGCCGCCACCCGCACTGCCTGCTGCTGTGCTCGCTGCGCCTGCCATGACTCCCACGGCAACAGATGGCCCGGCATCTGAGAGGGGAGTGACACCACTCTCATGCCCCGCCAGCGATGCTGCTGCCACGGTGCCTGCTGCCACACCTGGCAGTGCAGGGGACACCACGCCCACCACTGCCAGTGGGCCCGGGGAGGATGGGTAAGCTTGGGGGGGAGTGGCAGGAGCAGGCGGGGCAGGAGGGGAGGGTGGTAGTGGCAGGGCGGGGAGTGGGGGGAGGTCCTCCCAGCGGCGTGCGAGGAGCACGTTGAGCCTGAGGCGGCGCAGATACGTGGCTGTGACGGCGCGCCTCACAGGCCGGTCGTCCAGCACCACCGCTGTGCACCCCTGTACAGCCGGCGAGCAGGGGCAGGGCATGCATGGAGGGACAGTGCATGCATACAGTGAATGCACGAGACACAGTGAATGCATGGAGACACGGTACTTGCACTCGCTGCGAGGCAGACTGTCACTCCTGTGACTAGTGCCACTGAAATGGGCTGACAACACCGAATAAGGTCCTCACGCCGACACAAGAGGCAGCCTCGCACGCACCTGAAGGTCAGAGACTCGAGAGGCAAGTGCGGGGGCACTTCTCCTCTTGCCGGCGGCAGCAGGAGCAGCAGAGGCGGGGGCGTCATGGGAGGGGTCCGGGGGGTTCTCAAAGGGCAGCGTCATGTCAAAGAAGAAGGTCGTGCCCACGCCCGGGCGGCTCACAAACGCCAGCTTGCCGCCCATCAGCGCCACCAGGTGCTGCGAGATGGAGAGGCCGATGCCGGTGCCGCCGTGTGTGCGCGTGGTGCTGATGTCCGCCTGCACGTACGGCCGAAACAGACGAGGCTGCGCCGCCCACGGTATGCCCTGCCCCGTGTCCTGCCAGCATGCAGTGGGGGTGGTGAGAACGGAGGCAATCACAGTAGCTTCAGTCAGAGTGCCTTGGTCAGAGCATATTCACTGCATGCCAGTGTCTGTAAATCAATGAAGATATCACTTCATATCACAGCATACCACTGACTCCATTGCACCACGAACCACCGATTGACTCCTTGGCACAGGACACCACCGGTTCATGTCCCTACCAGCAGCGCACTGCTCACCTCAACGGACACCACCAGCCGCACCATCCCACTCTGTGCTTCACCTCCCCCGTGCTCCCCCGCCCTGCCCGCAGCCCCACCACTGCTGTGTGGCGCAGCAGGCGTGCACTGCAGGTGGCCTGGGGGCGGGCCTGCCTGGGGGGGGCGTTCCATGAGAGCCTGGATGCGCGCCCAGCTATTGCAGCTCTCCACCGCCTCCACTCCACTCAGCGTCTCAAACTCCCCCTGCCTACCCCTCCGCCCCTGCCCCTGCCCCTGCCCCATCTCTTTGTTCTGCAGCTGCCCCGTTTGCCCCTGCCCCTGCCCATCACTGCCTGTCTCTGCGCCCATCTGACCCTCCGCCTCGACTCGAGCCTGCGTGACGGCGCCGGAGGAGCCCCCATCAACCATCTCCCCTGCGCCCGCCTCACCGGTACACTCCTCCTTCTCGCCGTGTACCTCACCCTTCCATGCATCTGAGTCACCTCCATGCAATCTGCAGGTTTCCTCTCCGCCCTCCCCACTCCTGCCATTTGCCAGTTCTGTTGTTCCAGGCGCTGCACCACTCGCTGCCCCAGCACCCGCGCTCACTTCTCCCCTTGCACCACCTGCATGCGCCACGCCGGTCTTGCCAGCACCACCACCAGCAGCAGCAGCAGGCGCAGACATCACTGCACTTGCGGCAGCACCTCCAGCAGGGGCAGGGGTGGAGCTCCACCCGCCTCCTGCTGCACCCGCACCATCAGCACCGGGCGTGTTAGCAACTGCAGCAGTGGCCGAGGCAGCGGCGCTGGTGGTGGGAGCAGCGCGGTCGGAGTGGGCAAGGGAGGTGCGGGCGAGGGAGCGGGCGTCGGCAAAGTGGGCGCCGGGGACGGCGAGGTCGTCATGGGGGGCGGCGGTGCGCACGGTGATGAGCACGTGGCCGCGGGCGGTGAACTTGCAGCTGTTGGACAGCAGGTTGATCAGCACCTGCCGCAGCCGCAGCGCGTCGCCCAGCACAAACGTGGGCACGGCGTCGTGCACGAGTGCCGCCACCTCGACCTGCGGCTTGTTGCGCGTGCGCTCCACAAACATGCTGAGCACGTCGTCTATCTCCGCCCTCACGTCCACCCTCATGCTCTCCAGCTCCATCCGCCCCGCCTGCCCTCGCCCCCGCGTGCACGCGCCCACCACACACACCCATGGAGAGACGGGAGGGGGAGGAGAAGGGGCATGATAGCGCAGGGAAGGAACCATTGGAGCAGGAATTAAGATATAAGGAGGAGAGCGACTTGATCGTGATGGATGAATACAGGCACTCGGTTCGGTGGTGGTGTCATTCTGTGCCGAGTCGATGGCATGCTGTGTGCAGGCATGAGTTAGGGAAGCGTTGCAAGTATGGTGCAGAGTGGAGGCGTGTGGTGCAGTGTGGAGCACGTGGGTGTGGAGTGAGAGGGGCACGCGGGTGTGGGGTTCGAGGGGCATGTGGGTGTGGAGTGCAGTGCGGTGCGGTGCAAGTAGGTGTGGAGAGCAGGTGGCATGTGGGTGTGGAGTGCAATGCGGTGCGGTGCACGTAGGTGTGGAGAGCAGGTGGCATGTGGGTGTGGAGTGCAGTGCAGTGCGGTGCACGTAGGTGTGGAGAGCAGGTGGCATGTCACATGTGGGTGTGGAGTGCAGTGCGGTGCGGTGCACGTAGGTGTGGAGAGAAGGGGGCATGTGGGTGTGGAGTGCGGGAGTGCAGGGCCCACCTCGATCTTGGAGAGGTCGAGGATGTCGTTGATGAGGGAGCAGAGCGCCCTGCCGCTGGTGCGCGCCGTCTCCACGTAGTCCAGCTGCACCGCGTCCAGCGGCGTCTGCAGCAGCAGGTTCAGCATGCCTGCCAACCGTGCCCAAAAGGGAAAGAGGGGGGAGAGGGGAAGGGAAGGGACGGTGGGGAAGGGAAAGAACGGAAGCATCAAAGAACCATCATTTGACTACACATCAGAGGTGGCAAACATGCAGCCATGCGTGCATGCATGCAGTGACCCATGGATTTCGGGTTTAGGGTTGCACAATTCAGTGACCCATATGTGCGCCTCGGAGCCAGCGTGGGCACAGCACAGCATAGCACAGAACAGCGCAGCAGAGCAGAGCAGGGGACAGCAGAGCGTCGCAGAGGCACGCACCAATGACGCCGTTCATGGGAGTGCGGATCTCGTGGCTCATGGTGGCGAGGAAGGTGCCCTTGGCGCGGCTGGCGGCCTCAGCAGCCACCTTGGCGGCGCGCATCTGCTCCTTGAGCGCCGCCATGCGCTGCAGGTCGCCCTCCACGCGCACCACCTCCCCCGCCACCACGTACACCACCGCCACCACCAGCGCCGCCCCCGCCACCGCCACACACGGCCACACCACCGCCATGTACGGGAACGGCGGTGACTGGTACCTGCAACCACGAGCACGCACAGGACGGGATACAGACCATGGGGCAAGGTGCAGAGCGCAGGGACGAGGGGCAGAACGAATATGAAAAACAGGAGGGGGGAAGGAAGGAAGAGAAAGAGAGGAAGGAAGTGGTAAGGAGCGGAGAGCGGAGAAAGGCAGAGCAGGGCGGCAGGCTGTGGTACCTGCAAGCGAGGGTGTACTGGCGGCCCACTGCCGGCAGAGGCACGGCGTGCGCTGCAGGGAAGGACGAGGGCGCCTCAGGCATGGCGGGGGGCTGCAGCGGGGGATACTGTGCGAGGACGAGCGTGGTGGTGGCGGCCGTGGTGTCCTGCAGCTGCAGCAGCAGCGCCGCTGACCCACAGCTGCTGCTGCTGCTGGACGGCGCCTGCAGGGGAGGAGGGGGAGAGGGGGCGAGGGAGGTGCAGAGGAGCAGGAGCAGGAGGGGAGCAGCACATGGATGATGGTGTGAGGGATGGAAGTGCAAGTTGGGCAGCTCGGTTGAAACTGTCATGTTGAGACAAGAGGAGCGGTGGGAGCACGGGTGAGAGGAGGCATGGCATGAGGCGGGGAAGGAAGTACCTGAGACAGCTGTGAGAGGGCGAGCTGCATGTCAGCCACTGCAAACGCGAATCCTATCACTGCTGCTTGCATCTCGTCTGACGTGGCGTTGGGCGGCATGGCTCGTCCATACACGGGCACTGATGCCACCACTGCTCTCTGCTGCTGCTCCGCAGGCGACTGAGCTGCTGCTGCTGCTGCTGTTGCTGCCAAAGATGTATTAGCAGGAAACGACCTCGGTTGGTCGCTGCTGCTGGTCGAAGAGGAGGAGGTGATGGTGGTGGGTGTGGGGGCAGAGGTGGGCGCGGAGGAGGAGTTGTCAGGGAAGGGGAAGCGAGGGGCAAAGGGTGGGGAGAGGGTGCAGGGCAGGCTGGCAGAGAGGGCGGAGAGCGCCGAGAGGGCAACCGCGGGACCCAGCTGGGGAACTGTGCGGGAGAGGAGGGAGGGGGATTGGGCATTCACCGGTGGAGGGTAACAGGCAGGAAAATGGCTCGTGGCGTGCAGGGCTTGCGCTTGAAAAGGTGTGGGATGCTGGTACTGACTAATGGGAGGCATTGCTTTGAATGAAGCTCGTAGCGAGTCGTGTGTGTGCTGTGGCATGGGTGGCTGGCAGGCAATGGAACAGGCAATACTAGGTTCAAAACTATGAGATGTGGTAGCTTCTGGATATAGTAGCAACAGACGCCCCCACTTCCCCACCCACCCTTTCCCCCCTCTTCACCACACACACCAGAAAGCATGTCCAGTCCAACATAAGCCGCCCCCACGCCACTTGTGCTGCTGTTGGGGGTGGCGAGGTGAGAGAGGATGGTGGCGAGGGTGGGCGAGTAGTGGAGCAGCGGCAGGTAGTGCTGCTGCTGAGGCGCGCACCCTCCACTCACATTCCTGAACGCGTACATGCATGCAGGGAGGACAACAACAGAGTGCAGAGGGGAGACGGAGGGTGGGCATGGGGCGGAGGGTGGGGAGTGGTGTGCACGTGGATGGTTGGGCAGCACGGAGCTACTGAGGGGAGGCGACAAGGCGAGGAGGGAGAGAATGTGAGGGGAGGGGAGAATGTGAAGAGAAGAGAGAATGCAAAAAGGGGAGAGACTGAGGGGTGGAGGGGAATGTGACTTAGGGAGGAAAGAATGTGAGGCGTGGTGACTGTAAGGGTTACACAAATCAAGTGCGAGATGACATGGCAGGAGGGGACAGGGATAGGGTTGGGCATGAGAGGGGGCCACACACGCACCAGATACAGGTGGCGTTGAGGAAGCTGTTCTGGAGGGCGGCGCGCGAGGAGTGGTTGAGCGAGAGCGCGTACCCCATGGCGCTCGCCCCCTGCCCCCACCCACTCGCCCCCGCGTCTGCTGCAGTGGCGAGAGGGGGCGGGGGAGGGAAGGCGAGCAGCGGGCGCGTGTAGTCGGTGGAGGCCACCAGGCGCGAGAACGCCGCCTGCTCCGCTCCCCGCATGCATGCAGCGCGCGCAGGGGGGGTGGGAAGTGGTTGCCGCCTATGAGCAACCAGCACAGCAACGGGCAACGACTAGCGGGCAATGAACAACGCGACGAGCAAACCATGTAGGAAGGCGCTGCCACACTAGCTGCTCAACAGCGGATGATGGGAGGCGCTTCATGAAACGAGGGGGATCAATGCAGTGGCAGCATGCGTACCTGGTCCACGGCCGCGTGCAGCACTGTGAGCGTGTCCCCCAGCGCGCGCACCCCTCCCAGCGATGCTTGCAATGCACTGCCCAGCTCGTGCGCCCACAGCGCACACTGCGATGACAGCGATGCCTGCATGGCGTGCGGTGCAATGCACGTGCAATGGACACCGCATCACACACAGCAGCACCGCATCACACACATCACATTGCACACAGAAACACCGCATGACGCAAGGCAACACCGCATCGCACAAAGTGTTAGAAGCATGCAACAGAGGCAGACACGGCACATCACAATGCAATCCACAGTGTCACAATACTACATTGCTGAAATCACCACCATCGCACTTCATCCCAGCATCGTCCAAACCCCTTTCTCCCAACCCCTTCATGCCCCAACCCTGTTGCCCAGCCCTCCTCCGACGGAGCCCGTGCGCACAGTGACGGCACCTGGTAGGAGGCGAGGTGGAGGAAGTACACGAGGCAGAACAGCCCCGCCGCCACCGCCGCGCAAAACGCCGACGCACACACCAGCACCGCGCGCCGCCTGGCCACCAGAAACGCCAGCGTCGGCGCCACAAACGGACACGCGCTCCGCGACGCCTGCTCGCCCTCTTTGTCGGCTCCCCCCAACCCCGCGCCTCCGCTCCCCCCATCCACTGCTCCGCTGCCACCGCCTCCGCTGGCCGTCCGCGGCACCAGCGGGGCTTCCGCCGCCATGCTGCCCGGCGGTCGCTTGGGCTCGGGGGACCGGCGGAGCGCCGAGAGCTTCACATAGTGGCGCCTCTTAAAGCCCGTGGCCTTGACACGAAGCGGTTCCGTCTCGATATCCATGGACTCTCGTCACGCTGTCACTTCCCATCGACTTCCGTCACGCATCGGCTATGGACTTCCGTCACGCATCGGCTATGGACATCCGTCACGCATCACAAGGCAGACCCGGACACGGCCAGGCGCGGATATCCCACACCTCACGCACGTTGCCGCTGCCCGACGCGCGACGAGAGAGGCAAAGAGAGAGCAAGGCGGGAAAGAGAAAGAGGAGAGAAGGTAGAGGAGGTTGTAGGGGGTGAGGCGGGGGGGGTGGGAGGAGAGTGCGCAAGCAGCATCGAACGGAAGCGAGCGCCGTGGAAAGGACGCGGCCGAATGGAGGACAGGCTGAGTTGCTGTTGTGGTGGTCTGGATATGTATCGTGGCGCTGAGCTTGGTGTTGTCGCCTTTGTCAGCATAACAGCTGGTGGAAACGGTGTAAGCAACTTGAATTACGAATAGGCTCCCATCCGGACCTTTCCAGAAATGCACCACACACTATCCCTTACGTACCGAACTTTTCACCGAGGGCAGTTGGAACCAATGGGGCAGGAAGGAGAGGGGGCGGGGAGGAGGGGATATGTGAATCGCGGTTCAACGCTCCCGCAGCGAAAAGTATCTCACCATCATCACGTCACTTGTGGCCACGTGATCCCGATCGCAACCCTCGGGTCACACGGTGGACGCTCACCGTCGTCCGATTCAATCACGATTTGGAGGGATGGGATTTGCCCGGCTAAAGCGGTTGAGTACGATGCTGTTGCACTCTAAAGCGGTTTCTCGCGCCAGTACGAATATTCATTTGTGACACGCATCACCCAATCCAATCCGTGCACCTCCAAACCAAACCGGAATGCATGCAACAGGCAGACAGCAAAGCAGCCCAGCCCGCCTGAACCGCAGCTGTCCTCAGAGTCATAGCCCTAGTTTTCCTGCCTGCACGATTATGAGTCACCCTCGCACCTCTTTCCACATCCTCGCCACCCACCCCATGGCGCGCACCTCGTTCCACTCGTCTCGTTCGCTCCTCTCCTCGCGTGCGCCGTACAGTCGCGCGGATGGCTGCGGCATCCGCCGTGCTGCTGTGTGAGGTACCGCCGAGCACCGTCAGCGCGCCGGGCAGCGCGGAGACAGAGCGCGCCGAGCTCCGCGACCTCATGTCGTCGCCCGCTCGCCCACCGTTCGACTCCTCTCCGCGTGTCGGCGCGGACAATCCGCTTGCATTGCGCGTGCCGTGCGCGCAGGAGCGGCAGGAGGCGCAGGAGCGGCAGGAGGCGCAGGAGCGGCAGGAGGCGCAGGAGCGGCAGGAGGCGCAGGAGCGTCTGGAGGCGTTGTGGCAGGAGGTAGAGGAGAGCGACAGCACGCGCAGCCTGCGGTCGCCCAGCGATGCGTCGCCCGCTGCGACCTCGTCGCCCCGCCGCCATGCCAGCGGCAGCTTCACCAATCGACGCGTTCGCTCGCTGTGGTCGGCGGGGTCGCCGCTCTCGTCGCCGCAGCACACGCGCAGCGCGCGTCACACGCGCCAGTGGTCGGCTGCGGCCGTGCCCTTCTCCTTCTCCTTCTCCCCGCTCCACCCCTCCGCGCTCCCTGCGGACGCCCAGTCGTCGCCGCGGCATCCGCTCACCCCCACGGCGGACGGCAAGGCGCAGGCGCACGGGGACGGGGAGGAACGAGGGGAAGCGGAGCGAGCGGCGGGGCATAAGCCGTCCAAGTCGGCGGGGTCGCTGCCGTTCCTCCAGCTGGGGCAGTGGTCGCGCTCCTCCCCCAACCTCCGCTCCCCCATCAGCCCCCCCGCCGCTCCCACCTCCCCGTCGGATACCGCCTGGTCGCTTCCCGGCTTCGCCAAGTCGGTAACCCTTCGCTCTTCGCCCAGGTCCTCCACTTCGCCCAGAGCCGCCACTTCGCCCAGAGCCGCCGCAGCGTCGGTGGCGCGCGCTGTATCGGCGACGAGCGCCGAGGCGCCGGGTATTCTGGAGAGCCGCACCTTCGACCCAATCGCGTCGCCCCTCGCCGCCGCCCCGCCAGCGTCGCTCTCCGACGCGCGCAGGTCAGCGGAAGCGGAGGTTGTGGGTGGCGGTAGGAGCAGTCCGTTGCGGGGCGGCGGATGGCGCAAGACCGCGGTGGGCGGCCGGCGCAGCGAGGGCGGAAGAGAGCCGACAGTGACCGCTGAGATGGGGGAGGGCGCGGGGGAGAGGGCGAGTGCAGGGGAGGAGGACAAGGGGTGGGCGTCCGGCAGTGGGCGGGGCAGCAGATGGCGCGCCAAGGCAGCCCTGCCGCAGCTGAACGTGCGCCGCAACTCCGTGGACAGCCCGCAGCCCAGCCCGCAGCCCAGCCCGCAGCAGAGCGCACAGCAGCAGGCGCTCAAAGTGCTGCACCAGCGATGCCCGCCCCTGTCGCCCTCCACCTCCCCACTCGCCTCCCCCAAACCCTCCCCGACCGCCTCTTCTACCGACCCCGCAGCAGCAGCATCCGCCAAGTCGCTCCTGAGGTCGCCGCGCTCCCCCTGTGCGGCGGCAGCAGCAGCAGCAGCGTCGCCGCGGTCGCAGGTGGTGGTGGTGCGGAGCTTTGTGGAGCACCGCAGGCGAGTGGCGGAGGCGGAACAGAGAGAGGCGGCGGAGCTGGGGGAGGTGGCGGTGGCAGGGCGCGCGGACCCGGGGAACGGGGGGCAGGAGGGCAGGCGGGGAGGCGTGAGTTGGAATGGGGCAGTGCAGAGCTTGGACGCGGCGGTAGCAGCAGGGGGTGCAGTGGGGGAGGCAGAAAGGGGTTCAGGGATCCAGCAGGGGAGCGGCAGGGTCGCGGAAAGGTTGGCGCCTGCCATGGCGGGCACAGAGGGCATGCAGTGCGGGGAAGAGCGGATGGACGCGGGCATGACACAGGCCGGCATCGTGGGCGATCCACAGTGCAGGGGCGGAGGGGACATGCGCGGTGGGGGTGAGGGCGAGCAGGTGCGCGTGCAGGCGACGGTGGGAGGTGGCAGTCCGCCAGCGAGCAGGGCGGGTGGGAGAGGGGCAGGTGGGCACGGGGAGCGAGGCAGGGAGGAGGAGCAGGTCAGAGCGGTTCTAAGTGCGAGGCAGCAGCAGCGAGCGCAGTGGCTGCAGCAGCAGGAGTGGCAAGAGCAGGAGGGGAGGCAGCGAAGCAGATCCAAGGAAGGTGCCACGGTGCAGTGGGCGCCCCTCCCCACCACCACCCACTCCCCCCCCGTTCCCCGCCAAGCTTCCGCCCCTCCCCGCCCCGTGCTTCCCCTCCATTCCGATGGGGCCCTCTTCCCCCACCGCCCTCTCACGGCAACGCCCTGCCCTGCGCCCAGAGACCTCTACCCTGCATCCCAGCAGGCGTGGCTCGCAGCGGATGCTGGCACGGCGGGGCACAGGCAGGAGGAGGAGGCGAGGCAGGAGAGGCGGGGCGAGTGGGGCCATGCTGATGATGCACGCGGCGCGCACGCCATGTCTGCCAGCTTCCACAGCCGCTCCTCTCCGCCGTCCAAGCCACCTCAAAGCCCCCGACCTGCTCTGAGCCCCAAGCCACGCTCACACGCACCACGCAACTCTGTGAGCCTTGGCAGCCTTGGGTCCCCTCGGGGCAGTGCCCCGCCCCACAGCCTTGACCCTGCCCATCGCCCTGCTGCCAGCCCCTCCCACCCCCTCCGCTCCAACCCCGTGGTCCCTCCACTCTCTCTCGCCCCGCCCCTCGCCCCTTGCCACTCGCAACACAGCCCCCTGAACAGCCCCCTGGGCAGTCCTTTGAGCAGCCCGCGCGGTGCGGTCAGTCGCAGCAACTCAGCACGCACCCGACCGACCCTGCCAAGTCCCCACTCCCAGCTGTCACCGCGTAGCAACCACATGCCGCCGCCCGCTGTGTTCTCTTCCCCTATTGGGAACTGTGAGGCGCAGCAGACAGCGCGTGGCAGTGAGGGCGTGGCGCTGCAGCTGCCAGTGGGCAGCAGCCACGGCACGGCATGCAGCCCTCGGGCGCCCTGCAGCCCTCGGGCGCCCAGCAGCCCTGCTCCCTCTCCCAGCCCACGCGCACAGCGCTGAGTGCCCCCAGCAGCCCACTGGGCAGCCGAGCACCTGATGCCTCGGCCTTGCGAGCACAGGGAGGCCCAGGGAGCAGAGCGCTCGCCCCGGGGCAATCATCCTCGCGCTCTGCCAGGCACTTCAGCAGCTGCCATGCTGCCGTTGGCCCTACCACGGGAGGCAGAGCTGGGGTTGGGCAGAGTGGCAGTGGGGCAAGAAGTGGTGCGATGGTTGGGGCAACGGATTATGGCAGCGGTGGTGGTGGGCAGCAGGCTGGGGGGCGTCATGGTGGGAATGGGGCAGTGGAGCGGAGTGTGAGCGAGCAGCACCACAGCCACCACATGCACCCTACTGCAACCACCCTGTCGCCTCAATCTGACGTGCCTCAGGCCATAAAGAGGCGCCACACGTATGCTTCCACCCCCACCCTTGCCATCCCTCTGCCCCTGCCCCAGCTTGGCCCTAATGGCTGCCCTCCCCCTCTTAGCCCCACGCTGAGCAGGGCAGCAGGCAGCAGCAAGGGCAGCAGGAAAGGGGACGGGAGGCAGGGGAGGCAGAGGGGAACTGGTGTGGGCAAAGAGGAGGGCGTTGTTGACGACGTTACGGCTGCTGCAGCTGCTGTTGCTGTTCCCAGTGAAGATCAGAGGGTCGAAGGGACAGCGGATGCCAGGCGCAGGTGAGAGCAGGGGTCTGGTGCTTGCCATTCGCTTTGCCTTGTCGCCATCGCCTTTGCTACTGTCATCTCTCTGCCTCCATTGATACCGTCGGGTATGCTTGGTGCAAGGATGGTCATCACTGAGTCTTGACTCTCCTCGTGTTTGTGTGTGTGAGCAGGTTTCGAAGAGAGCTGTCCTTAAGTGGGTACTTGAGCAGCGGGTAGGCTTGACGTGCGCCAAGGCATGTCAAGGTACCCACCCACTAGTATTTGCTCGTACTAGGCTGCTCTGGGACTGCCAGGCACAGCATGACTTGTTAGTTAGCACCTCTCGTAGTGATGAGGCCGCGCTGGGCAAAGTGAAGTGATGCATTTATAGTACCGTATCACTTATAGTGTGTGTTGCCATGCCATTCAGCAAGGGCTGCTGCAAGGGACATGTAAAGGGTTAGCTACCTCACATCTTGTTTCGACATCCCCAGAGACCCAGAGCTTGCATTTCTCCTCGTTCCGTCACACCTGCAGTGAATTGCAACGGATGCCATTACATTGCGTTGATTCATTCTGAAGCTCCTGATGGAGCGTGCACATGCAAGGAGCTGCATACACAAGTTCCAACACATGTGAATGCTATGTATTAAATGCTGCTGCCTGTTGCGTCACACCTGATGATGCCAGTAGCAAGAGCGCACGGCACTAGTGGTGTGGGGTTGCCTGTCTGAGCAGCCCCAGTTCATTGCCTATGAGTCGGAATATGATGGCACACAGGTTGGACAGATCCGCATCTCTGCAACGGCCATACAGGGGGGCATGGGAAACGTGACAGGGGGGTACAATAGTCAAAAGGGAACATGGGAGCATGGAATGGGTATGGGAGCATGGAAATGCGTAGGAACCATCGGGAAATTGTCTGGGAGCATGAGGAAAGGGTTTGGGTAAGATGGGGAGGGGAGTGAGGTGGTTGGAGCACAGGTGAGGCAGAAAAGCAGCATGGAGCAAAAGCACAGGAGATACTGCTACAGCTGCTACTTATACACAAACACAGAGGGTTCTGTGAGGTTTTCGTGTTTTAAGGGGGGGGGAGGGGGACGGGGGACGGGAGAAGTGTGGAAAGTGTACCGGAGGAAGACGAGGTCGCAGAGGGGCGAGTAGAGCAGCAGCAGGTGCGCTCGCTGCCACCCCAGCTGCCGCCCCTCGCTGTCCACAAACCGCCGCGCTGCGCTGTCCCGCTCCCATGGCCGCTCCAGCTCACCCCTGGTGAGCGTGTCCCCGGCTGCTGCTGCCTGCGCCGTGACGTGCGCCTCTGCACTGGCCTTGGGCGCGATGGGCACGTCCAGTGCGGCAGCGACGAGGGGGTGCAGCACGAGGCGCACCAACTCCTGCAGCAGCAGCAGCATCTCCGCCAGCCGCACTGCCGGCATGGCTGCTGACCCTGCCCGCCCACACCCAGGGATGGGGCACAAGGGGCAGGCAGGGATAATATGGTCGAGAAGGCAGGGCAGAGGGAGAGGTGGCAATGGGAGGCAGTGAGGGAATGCAGAGGCGCATCCGAGCAGAGAAGCAGATGAGGCAAATCCGGAAATATGCTTGCACCCCCATGTGCTACTCCTGTGTGGCGATCAACTGGTGAAGAAGGTGTGTGTGCGGCACCCACCTGCTTGCAGGGAGTCTTTAGTGAAGCGGTGCAGAATGGCATGGCAGCGCGCCACGAGGCGAGGCAGCACCAGCCGCCCCACCGCCACCGATGATGATGCCAGTGTGTCCTCTGTGCGGCCTTGCCTGGCCCACATGCATGAAGGAGCCGTGTGGGGAGCGTGGGGTGGGGGGAGGGCACGTGCCACAACATCAGTTCTGGAAGTAAGTTCTGGAGGTCAGGTTCTGGAGGTCAGGTTCTGGAGGTCAGGTTCTGGAGGTAAGTTCTGGAGGTCCGGTTCTGGAGGTCAGGTTCTGGAGGTAAGTTCTGGAGGTAAGTTCTGAAGGTCAGGTTCTGGAGGTAAGTTCTGGAGGTCAGGTTCTGGAGGTAAGTTCTGGAGGTAGGTTCTGGAGGTCAGGTTCTGGAGGTAAGTTCTGGAGGTAAGTTCTGGAGGTAAGTTCTGGAGGTAAGTTCTGGAGGTCAGGTTCTGGAGGTAAGTTCTGGAGGTAAGTTCTGGAGGTCCGGTTCTGGAGGTCAGGTTCTGGAGGTAAGTTCTGGAGGTAAGTTCTGGAGGTAAGTTCTGGAGGTAAGTTCTGGAGGTAAGTTCTGGAGGTCAGGTTCTGGAGGTAAGTTCTGGAGGTAAGTTCTGGAGGTAAGTTCTGGAGGTAAGTTCTGGAGGTCAGGTTCTGGAGGTCAGGTTCAGGAGGTCAGGTTCTGGAGGTAAGTTCTGGAGGTAAGTTCTGGAGGTAAGTTCTGGAGGTCCGGTTCTGGAGGTCCGGTTCTGGAGGTCAGGTTCAGGAGGTCAGGTTCTGGAGGTAAGTTCTGGAGGTAAGTTCTGGAGGTCAGGTTCTGGAGGTAAGTTCTGGAGGTAAGTTCTGGAGGTAAGTTCTGGAGGTCAGGTTCAGGAGGTCAGGTTCTGGAGGTAAGTTCTGGAGGTAAGTTCTGGAGGTCCGGTTCTGGAGGTCCGGTTCTGGAGGTCAGGTTCAGGAGGTCAGGTTCTGGAGGTAAGTTCTGGAGGTAAGTTCTGGAGGTCCGGTTCTGGAGGTCCGGTTCTGGAGGTCAGGTTCAGGAGGTCAGGTTCTGGAGGTAAGTTCTGGAGGTAAGTTCTGGAGGTCAGGTTCTGGAGGTAAGTTCTGGAGGTAAGTTCTGGAGGTAAGTTCTGGAGGTCAGGTTCAGGAGGTCAGGTTCTGGAGGTAAGTTCTGGAGGTAAGTTCTGGAGGTCCGGTTCTGGAGGTCCGGTTCTGGAGGTCAGGTTCAGGAGGTCAGGTTCTGGAGGTAAGTTCTGGAGGTAAGTTCTGGAGGTAAGTTCTGGAGGTCCGGTTCTGGAGGTCCGGTTCTGGAGGTCAGGTTCAGGAGGTCAGGTTCTGGAGGTAAGTTCTGGAGGTAAGTTCTGGAGGTCAGGTTCTGGAGGTAAGTTCTGGAGGTAAGTTCTGGAGGTAAGTTCTGGAGGTCCGGTTCTGGAGGTTCGGTTCTGGAGGTCAGGTTCTGGAGGTCAGGTTCTGGAGGTCAGGTTCTGGAGGTCAGGTTCTGGAGGTAAGTTCTGGAGGTAAGTTCTGGAGGTAAGTTCTGGAGGTAAGTTCTGGAGGTCAGGTTCTGGAGGTCAGGTTCTGGAGGTCAGGTTCTGGAGGTCAGGTTCTGGAGGTCAGGTTCTGGAGGTAAGTTCTGGAGGTAAGTTCTGGAGGTAAGTTCTGGAGGTAAGTTCTGGAGGTCAGGTTCTGGAGGTCAGGTTCTGGAGGTCAGGTTCTGGAGGCCAGGTTCTGGAGGTCAGGTTCTGGAGGTCAGGTTCTGGAGGTCAGGTCCTGGAGGTCAGGTTCTGGAGGTAAGTTCTGGAGGTCAGGTTCTGGAGGTAAGTTCTGGAGGTCAGGTTCTGGAGGTCCGGTTCTGAAGGTCCGGTTCTGGAGGTCAGGTTCTGGAGGTAAGTTCTGGAGGAGTTCTGGAGGTAAGTTCTGGAGGTCCGGTTCTGGAGGTAAGTTCTGGAGGTAAGTTCTGGAGGTCAGGTTCTGGAGGTAAGTTCTGGAGGTCAGGTTCTGGAGGTCCGGTTCTGGAGGTCCGGTTCTGGAGGTCAGGTTCTGGAGGTCAGGTTCTGGAGGTAAGTTATGGAGGTAAGTTCTGGAGGTAAGTTCTGGAGGTAAGTTCTGGAGGTCCGGTTCTGGAGGTAAGTTCTGGAGGTAAGTTCTGGAGGTAAGTTCTGGAGGTCCGGTTCTGGAGGTAAGTTCTGGAGGTCAGGTTCTGGAGGTAAGTTCTGGAGGTCCGGTTCTGGAGGTCCGGTTCTGGAGGTCAGGTTCTGGAGGTCAGGTTCTGGAGGTCAGGGTCTGGAGGTAAGTTCTGGAGGTAAGTTCTGGAGGTAAGTTCTGGAGGTCAGGTTCTGGAGGTCAGGTTCTGGAGGTAAGTTCTGGAGGTAAGTTCTGGAGGGCAGGTTCTGGAGGTAAGTTCTGGAGGTAAGTTCTGGAGGTCAGGTTCTGGAGGTAAGTTCTGGAGGTAAGTTCTGGAGGTCAGGTTCTGGAGGTAAGTTCTGGAGGTAAGTTCTGGAGGTAAGTTCTGGAGGTCAGGTTCTGGAGGTCAGGTTCTGGAACTCAGGTTCTGGAGGTAAGTTCTGGAGGTAAGTTCTGGAGGTCAGGTTCTGGAGGTCCGGTTCTGGAGGTAAGTTCTGGAGGTAAGTTCTGGAGGTAAGTTCTGGAGGTAAATTCTGGAGGTCAGGTTCTGGAGGTCAGGTTCTGGAGGTAAGTTCTGGAGGTAAGTTCTGGAGGTCAGGTTCTGGAGGTAAGTTCTGGAGGTAAGTTCTGGAGGTCAGTTCTGGAGGTAAGTTCTGGAGGTCAGGTTCTGGAGGTAAGTTCTGGAGGTAAGTTCTGAAGGTCAGGTTCTGGAGGTAAGTTCTCGAGGTCAGGTTCTGGAGGTAAGTTCTGGAGGTAGGTTCTGGAGGTCAGGTTCTGGAGGTAAGTTCTGGAGGTAAGTTCTGGAGGTAAGTTCTGGAGGTAAGTTCTGGAGGTCAGGTTCTGGAGGTAAGTTCTGGAGGTAAGTTCTGGAGGTCCGGTTCTGGAGGTCAGGTTCTGGAGGTAAGTTCTGGAGGTAAGTTCTGGAGGTAAGTTCTGGAGGTCAGGTTCTGGAGGTAAGTTCTGGAGGTAAGTTCTGGAGGTAAGTTCTGGAGGTGAGTTCTGGAGGTCCGGTTCTGGAGGTAAGTTCTGGAGGTAAGTTCTGGAGGTAAGTTCTGGAGGTCAGGTTCTGGAGGTCAGGTTCAGGAGGTCAGGTTCTGGAGGTAAGTTCTGGAGGTAAGTTCTGGAGGTAAGTTCTGGAGGTCCGGTTCTGGAGGTCAGGTTCTGGAGGTCAGGTTCTGGAGGTAAGTTCTGGAGGTAAGTTCTGGAGGTCAGGTTCTGGAGGTAAGTTCTGGAGGTAAGTTCTGGAGGTCAGGTTCTGGAGGTAAGTTCTGGAGGTAAGTTCTGGAGGTCAGGTTCTGGAGGTAAGTTCTGGAGGTAAGTTCTGGAGGTAAGTTCTGGAGGTCAGGTTCTGGAGGTCAGGTTCTGGAGGTCAGGTTCTGGAGGTAAGTTCTGGAGTTAAGTTCTGGAGGTAAGTTCTGGAGGTAAGTTCTGGAGGTAAGTTCTGGAGGTAAGTTCTGGAGGTAAGTTCTGGAGGTCAGGTTCTGGAGGTAAGTTCTGGAGGTAAGTTCTGGAGGTCAGGTTTTGGAGGTAAGTTCTGGAGGTCCGGTTCTGGAGGTAAGTTCTGGAGGTAAGTTCTGGAAGTAAGTTCTGGAGGTCAGGTTCTGGAGGTCAGGTTCTGGAGGTCAGGTTCTGGAGGTAAGTTCTGGAGGTAAGTTCTGGAGGTAAGTTCTGGAGGTAAGTTCTGGAGGTCAGGTTCTGGAGGTAAGTTCTGGAGGTAAGTTCTGGAGGTAAGTTCTGGAGGTAAGTTCTGGAGGTCAGGTTCTGGAGGTAAGTTCTGGAGGTCCGGTTCTGGAGGTCCGGTTCTGGAGGTCAGGTTCTGGAGGTCCGGTTCTGGAGGTCAGGTTCTGGAGGTAAGTTCTGGAGGTAAGTTCTGGAGGTAAGTTCTGGAGGTCCGGTTCTGGAGGTCCGGTTCTGGAGGTAAGTTCTGGAGGTCCGGTTCTGGAGGTCAGGTTCTGGAGGTCAGGTTCTGGAGGTCAGGTTCTGGAGGTCAGGTTCTGGAGGTCCGGTTCTGGAGGTCAGGTTCTGGAGGTAAGTTCTGGAGGTAAGTTCTGGAGGTAAGTTCTGGAGGTAAGTTCTGGAGGTAAGTTCTGGAGGTAAGTTCTGGAGGTAAGTTCTGGAGGTCAGGTTCTGGAGGTCCGGTTCTGGAGGTCAGGTTCTGGAGGTCAGGTTCTGGAGGTCAGGTTCTGGAGGTCCGGTTCTGGAGGTCGGGTTCTGGAGGTCAGGTTCTGGAGGTAAGTTCTGGAGGTAAGTTCTGGAGGTCCGGTTCTGAAGGTAAGTTCTGGAGGTAAGTTCTGGAGGTCAGGTTCTGGAGGTCCGGTTCTGAAGGTCAGGTTCTGGAGGTAAGTTCTGGAGGTAAGTTCTGGAGGTCAGGGTCTGGAGGTCGGGTTCTGGAGGTAAGTTCTGGAGGTAAGTTCTGGAGGTAAGTTCTGGAGGTAAGTTCTGGAGGTAAGTTCTGGAGGTAAGTTCTGGAGGTCAGGTTCTGGAGGTCAGGTTCTGGAGGTCAGGTTCTGGAGGTAAGTTCTGGAGGTAAGTTCTGGAGGTCAGGTTCTGGAGGTAAGTTCTGGAGGTAAGTTCTGGAGGTCAGGTTCAGGAGGTCAGGTTCTGGAGGTAAGTTCTGGAGGTAAGTTCTGGAGGTAAGTTCTGGAGGTCCGGTTCTGGAGGTCCGGTTCTGGAGGTCAGGTTCTGGAGGTCAGGTTCTGGAGGTCAGGTTCTGGAGGTCAGGTTCTGGAGGTCCGGTTCTGGAGGTCAGGTTCTGGAGGTAAGTTCTGGAGGTAAGTTCTGGAGGTAAGTTCTGGAGGTAAGTTCTGGAGGTAAGTTCTGGAGGTAAGTTCTGGAGGTCCGGTTCTGGAGGTAAGTTCTGGAGGTAAGTTCTGGAGGTAAGTTCTGGAGGTCAGGTTCTGGAGGTCAGGTTCTGGAGGTAAGTTCTGGAGGTAAGTTCTGGAGGTAAGTTCTGGAGGTAAGTTCTGGAGGTCAGGTTCTGGAGGTAAGTTCTGGAGGTAAGTTC